AGGGCAAGACAGGAGACAGAGAGAAGGCATGGAGAGACAGACACAGACAAAGTGAGGGAGAGAGCCTGCAGCCCGGCCGGCGGCGTCACCATGCGACTCCTGCACTGGGAGGTGGACTTGCGTGCCAGAGGCAGTATGTGTGTTTGTGTGTGTGTGTGTGTCCATGTGTGCTCCTGCGAGCTTGTGTGAAAACGCACGTGTGTGGGGCGCCCCTCGGTGACAGGATGCCAATGTTGCATCCGAGCTCTGCCCTCATCCCACAGAGAGGGCCACCGCCCCAGACGGCAGGGGCGTTGGCAGCCACATCGCCTGTGCTTGCTGGGGGGCGGCAGGGAGGGAGGGAGGCTCCACAGAGTTTCAGTGAGTCTCAGCCTGTGTGGGGGCGGCATGCGGGGGCGGAGGCTGCAGCAGCACATGTGCGTGCCTGTGCTCCGAGGCTGGGAGGAGAGCAGGCACGTCCCCCTCCCTGTCCCTGCCACCCCTCCTGGAGGCCGTCCCCCCAGTTCCCAGCCTTTGCTCATTGCCTGTGCCCTGCCTCTCCCTGTGGTCTTGTACACACCACTCCTCTCTGGATGCCGCCTCCCAGAGACCCAGGCTAGGACTGTCTATGGGGTGTGTCCCCGGCCCTCCCAACCTGTGTCCCGGGGGTCTGCGGTGTCCCTTGTGCACCCTCCGCAGAGGGAGACTGCAGAGGGTGGCAATCCTCATGGGGCATTTCTGGCGTCTACAGGAGTGTTCTGATCCCCACTGTACAGGTGGTAATGTTGAGGCACACAAAGGCCAAGTGATTCACCCAGGATGGCCCAAGTAAACGAGAGGCCGAATCCTGACTGGAAAACCAGTGACAGCTCAGGGCTGCCCCACCCAAGGCCACTGCTCCTCTTCCCTTGTGGGCGGGCACAAGAGAGGACGTTCCTCAGACAGGGTCCCAGGGTCTCGGCGTCCTTCCCCTCCGCGCTGGGTGCTGGGACTGGAACACAATGCCCTGAGCGGGTCCCTCTGCTCCCCAAGCCAGTCTCCTGGTCTGTAAGATGGACGAGTAAGTCTGGCGCCTCCCTCGGAGATGAGCTCACGGATGGAGACGTGCCCGGGCCAGCACTGTGGCTGGAAGAGGGTGCTGGAGGTGGAAGGGCCACGCTGGTCCCAGGGGGTAGGGGGGATGGGGGGCATCACGGACACCACGTTCTGTCTCCCACATGACACTGTCCATCCCCAACAGCGCATTCCACAGATTCAAGAGTGTGGACCCAGAAAGGACTCAGCACCCAGGACCCAGGGCCTCCAGGGAGAGGCCTCTGGCAACTGCCACCCAGCTCCACCCAGGCCAGAGGTGAGGGGGCCTCAGCCTAGGGGCCAGTCCCCTCCCCATCAGTCACCCTGCCCAGGAGCAGCGGGAGCCCTCCCCCACCCCACTCTTCCCCAGTCCATCTCCGATCCTGTCTCCAGAGAGAAGAGTGGGCTGAGCTCTCTCCAGGCGCTCCCTCCCTCCCTCTGCCTCGCTCAAGTGCAATCTCCTCGGAGGCTCTTTCTGTAAGCCCAGTGATTACACAGGCTGCAGGGCGGCTCCCCGCCTTTCTGACCTCTCCTGGGGTGGGAGCAGAAGCCCAGAGGTTGCTGAAGGCTGGAGAAAGCTTCTCCTTCACTTCCTGATTCACGCTTCCCATCCCCCACAGCCTGCACGCCTGCCTTCTCAGAGAGGTCTTCCGAGAAGGCCGGAGACACTGGAGCTCTGGCCTGGGCCCTCGGCCCACCCTGTCCCAGAGCTGGATCGCTGCAGCCTGCCTCCTGCAAGCGTCTGGGCCTCTGGGGCCTGGACTTCATGTCTCTCACCCTGAGAGGGAAGAGGATTGGGTCCAGGGAGGAGGGAGATAGCGCATCCCTGGTCCCAAGAGGCTGCCCCACCCCAGCCTTCTAGGAGCCTGGAGTCAAGTTCTTGCCACATCTGAATTCACGTACTCCATGGGGCCTCCAGCCCAGCAGACAGAGAGGCTCTGGAAGCCCCTTCCCAGGGACCTCGGCCCCACCCCCACCCCCACCCCGCTGGCTGCTCCCAGACCTGTAGAGGAGCAGCCTCTCTGGCATCCACAGCCAGCCCTTGCCCGGCTCCGCCAAAGCCTGAGATCCCCAGCCAGAACTCACAGGCAGGACGCCAGAGCTTGGGAAAGGCCCTTGCCCTCCTCTCCAGCTGGGCAGCCTAAGGTCCCAAGGAGGGAGGCCCAAGACTCCCTCCCCCTTTCAGGACCAACCCAGCTGCCTCTCCTGGTCACCCTGCTCATGATCTGAAGTGAGGCCCGGCATGGAGCTCGGCTTTAGGGTGGTGACTGCAGGGTCCCAGCTGGCAGAGGCTATGGGCCACCAATGGAAGGACAGTTCTTGCAGGCAGCTCACAGCTTCCCCTCACAGAAGAGAAGCCAGTGCCTCCCAGCCAGACCAGGGGAAGCAGGCCTTGGTCAACCCCCTACCCCAAGCTGGGCTAACTCCAGAGAAAAGGGCAACATGGAGCAGGTCCCATCCCTGGCCTTCAGCCCTGCCAGCCTTGAGGACACAACAGGCACCCTGGCCACAGTTCCCCATGGGAGGCCCACTGTGTACCAAGCCCCAGGCTGCCACTTTCCACGCACCATCTCGTGGAATCCCCCAGCCCTTTGCAATCTCCAGATGACAGACGCGTGGCCTGCCCCGTGTCACTGGGCTGTGGTGGTAAGGGACAGGGCCTGTGTCTTTGTGGCTGCACAGGGCACTGCCCCTCCCTGCCTTACTGGCCCCTTGCAGAGCAGAGCCCGGGACCTTCCAGCGGTGCACCCTGGCCTTTATGACATAGAGTCAGGCATGCGGCCAGGCACCCCATCCCCTTCCTCTGATGGGAGCACCCATAACCTCAGGCCCAATGTCCCGCAAGGCCCTGACATGCACACGCAACATTTTGTAGGTTTATGCACTTTTTTGGGGAATATAGATTTAGACCTTCCTCAGATTCCTGGAGGAATATGTGACCTAAAAAAGGTGACGAGCACTAACAGTTCCAGAAGGAGAAGGGCTGAAACTGACTAGACGAAGCGCAGCCACGCTGCCGCGGCCACGCCAGGCTCTTTCCCCCCGAAGTCTTTTGTGAAGGCTCACAAGGACCTCTCCGCCAAGTTGCCCCCACAACTGCCAGTCTCAAGGATGTCCATCTCATCTCGGGGCAAAGCATCACTTTGATTTTTCACTTGGAGCGCTCGAGCCACAGCTGCCTTCCATTTCCCTGCACCCGGTGACGCAGTCCTGCCAGACCCAGCTGTGGCTGTCCCTGAAGGCAGCTCCTGGCTCCCCAGGGAGTTCTTGGGTTCCAAGTGGGCGCTGCAGACCAGCTGGAGGGGGTCCCTGCAAGTTTAGAGGGTAGCCTCGGTCTTTCAGACCAGCCCTAAGGTATCTTGTTCCTGCCCCCTCCCCAGCGTGAAAACACACTCGGAAAGGCAAGACGTCTGCAGACAAGACATCTGCACATGTGTGTTTGCACAGGGGGCTGGAGTGTGCTTGTAGGAGTCAGGACAGTCTAGGTGTGCGTGTGTGTGCGCAGCCCACTTGTCCACAGCCACAGACCCACCGCCCACATATGCAAACACCAGCATGAGCTCACACATGCCTACAACACCCATACTCCCACACGAGCCCGGGAGCCCAGGCCTCACACATGCACATGTGTGCACCTTCCCATGTGCATAGCCAGCCCTCACAGAAACACCGTTGTGTCCACATCTCACCTGTGCATCCTTACACACCCCAGGCCTCACACACGTGTGCACACAGCTCTTGCCTGCCATACGTGTCACATACAGTGACGCATGTCCAGCCCTCGCTCCCATGCAACCCAGACAGCAGCACCCCTGTGACACTCACACACGTGCACTCTTGCAGGACACACTGGTATTCTCAGGCCATGCACATGAAGCACACACCAGCACCTCCGCCTGGTGCACACACATGAATGCTTGCACATCCTTTTAGGGCACACAAGTGTCCCTAGAGTCAGTCCTTACACAACACTATTCCTTCCCCTCAAGGTCCCTGCCCAACAAGACACATCACTCCCCCAGACACACGCTGCTGCACGCACACCCGGAGCGCCTGCCAACTGCCCCGTTCTGGCACCCTCTCCCCAAACTCTTGCTGCTGTGGGAACAACCAGGGCACTGGCACCCCTTTGCCCGCGGGGCAAACCCTGCCTCCAACCCTTGACCCATCCAGTGTCCTCCACAGCCCGAGTGACCACAGGCAGGAGCCCTTCCCAGCTGTCCCCCGGGGCTCCCCTCTGCTCGTTCTTCCCACTCCTCTCTCCACAGCAGTCAGCAAAGGCCGAAAATGAGCTCAGAGCTAGGCAACTTTGCCAAAGGACCGGAGCTGCTGCACCTTCTGCCCCACCAGCCCCTGAGACAGCGGTGCCCCCCAGCGGGCCTGACGGGGGGGGGCCTTCCCCAAACACCCAGGACACCTCACCCTGGCTCAGAAATTAACCCGTGCTGTACTGAGGACCTCGCTCCTGGCAGGAACTGGGAAGGGGGAGTTGGGAGGGAGAAGTTGGCTGTTCTGCACAGTTGCTGGGGTGTCTCCGGTCGGGAAGAATTCCCTTGAGTGGCAAATTCTCTGTCACTGGAGGCATCGACGCGGAAGCCATCTACTATGGTCCCCACGAGTGGGACTAGAAAGGAATTCCAGCTTACAGGCTGACTGGGAAATTCCTGTTTAGACTTTAGTTCCTAAGAAGCTGCGTGTGCCCAGACCGTGCGTACTTGCGTGTGTGCATGCACGGGCGCATACCACCGAACCTTCACCCCCACACACTCTCTGTGCCCCCACAAGCATGCCCACGCCAGGCTCCGGGCACTCTGCACATGCCGGTACCCAGGCCCCTGCAGCTCACCTTCACCCGCGGGCACAGGAATGTGCCAAGCTTGGCAGGCACATGCCCTGCCAGAGACACCGACCCCCGCGCCCTCCAGGACCCCCTGGGAGCGACTCACTTTCCCAATTCCTCAAAGAGCTGGTACTCTTCCGTGAAGCGGGTGCAGGTGATGGTGGCCATGCTGGAGCCGGGCAGGCAGGCGAGGCGTGGGGCTGCGGGACCAGAGCTGGGGCGCTGCCACTCTGCCCCCGGAGCGAGGGGCCGCTCGCCTGCCCAAGCTGCCGAGCTCGACCAGAGAACCGGCTCGGCTGCCGAGCCCGGGGCTTCTGAGCGGGGCACTGTGGCTGCTCACGGCCTCGCGAGCCTTCGTCAGCATCCAGGTCCCCATGGCAACCACCTCCGAAACGCCCTGTTCCCGTTGCCCCGGTAACTGCCTCCCCAACACCTGCCTGCCTTCCACTGCGAAACCTGCTCCTGGACGCCCTGGCCCTACCATGCGGGGTACTGCAGGCCTGCGTGGGCTGGGGACGGAGGACCCGCACCCCGGGGGTGATGGGTGATGGGCAAGGGAGGGGCCGGAGGAGGGGAGGAGAGGAAACTTGGTCCACAAGTGCTCTCTCTTTTTCCACCTCCCCCACCTCCCTCGGAGCAGACGGGATGGGATTAAGTGGGGCAAAAAGGCAGTTGCCATGGTGACAGCCAGCGGGTGCCGCATTCCGGGATGGTCCCCAGGAAAGACAGGATGCAGTTACCCTGGCAACTTCATCTCCTTGGGAGAGACAGGTATTGCCCCGTTGCCCTGGCAACAGCTGAGTTCTGAGGTTTACAGGGGAACCATGGCTAAGCAAGGGGATGGCTGTCTTAGATCACTGCCTCGTGTCCCCCTCTGGTTTTTCTGCTTTTTGACCTCTCCTCTGTCCTCTGTCTTGTCCTGTTCTTGTTCTCTGTTCTCTCCCACGACCACTCTAGCTTTGGGGGGAAGTGCAGAGCCACCCCAGGACTCTGGAGGGAATGGCCTTGGCTGCCTGCTCGCCCCCACCCTCCAAGCAGGGACACTCATCCCCTCCTGAGCCTCTTCTGCAACCTCTCCCCACCCGGGTCCCAGAGGGACCTGGGATGTCTGGTCTCCTGGGACTCATGGCCCAGTTTCCGCCTGTGCTTCAAGTCGAAGTAAAAGAGGCGAGAGGCGGCAGGAGGAGGCCAGCACAGGCCGGCTTGCCCAGCGAGGCCAGTGGCCGTGGATCTACCCCAGGCCCGTCATGCCCAAATGTGCGGCACCTTCCCTGCCAACCCCAACTCTCCAGGGCATCGGCTGCAAGCTCTTACCCTAAGGCCTGGGGGTTAAGAAGGAAAGGGACTGGAGGTTAAGACTAAGGATGTGAGTTTGAGTTTTGATTCTTAGACTTTTATTCACTGTGGGACCCTGGGCAAGTCACTGAGGCTCCCTGAGCCTCCAGCTCAGGGGAATGAAGCTGCTTCTGCAAAGAAAGCCTGCAAGACGGAGCAGGCTGAGGGCTGTGGAGGCCTCTGAGAGGCACATAAGCATGAGGCTTCTCTCTCGCTTCTAGAAGAGAAAAAGGAAGCAATAAAGCCGGACCATGACCACCTGTCACTCTAGCTGAGTCTTGGGTCTCGGGTCCTGCACGTGCTGTCCCTCCACTCAGGACAGGGGAGCCTTAGCTCACTTCACGGCCCAGCTGGAGCCTTAGGCCAGCACCTCCCCGGAGCCCGGGTCCACTCCTGGGAATTCCGGCTCACCCCTTTGAACCTCGGAATGGTCTCATGGGTCCCACCCTCTCCGGCGATGCTGGTTGCTTGCTGGCATTCTCCAACCCCAAAGTCCCTGGTTCACTCCCCAAGTCCCATGCCCCTAGCTCTGCCCCTCTCCCTGAGAGTCAGGGGTGAGAGAAGAATGGGTGGGCTTGGCCATTCAGCTGCCTTTCCGAGAGGAGCGGGAGGGAGCAGAGGGGAAGGAACCAGCCCGGAGGAGGGGTAATGGCTCAGCCACTAATTGCACCATTACCACCTTCAGAAAAAGGAAAAACCACTCTGCTTTGTTTCTGCGCACAATACACTCCTGCTCCCTGCCAACGTGGCATTCAGGGCAGGGAGGAGAGGCCGGTGTGAGGGGGTTGCCCAGCTGGTGGGCAGCGGTAGGCATGGAACACCGCATACCTCAGCCCTGTGGGGGGAGGCAAAGGAGGGGACGGCCACCTCCCACCCCAGATCCACTAGCCTGTCCTTGGAGGGATGGCCTTCGTTGCCATTGAGACCCAGGGAGAGGAGAGCAGTGTTGATCAGTAGTTAGGAGGCTCCCCAACCAACAAGCTGTGTGATTTTGGAAGCGTGTCCTAACTTCTCTGTGCCTCAGTTTCTGCATCCGCAAAGCTGGGTAGATAATCCTCTCTCCTACAGGCTGTTTTATGGATTAAACAATGTGAGCACAGTGGCAGACACACTATACGTAGTCAGAGAATTAGAAGTTATTATTGTTTGTGTTTTTTTGTTTGTCTCCCAGGCTGGAGTGCACGCTCATGGCCACCGCAGCCTCCACCTGCTGGGCACAAGCAATCCTTCTGCCTCAGCCTTCCAAGTAGTTGGAACCACAGGCGCGTGCCACCACACCTGGCTATTGTTTTGATTTATTGTTGAGACAAGGTCTCGCCAAGTTGACCAGGCTGGTCTCAAACCCCTGGACTTGGGCAATCCTCTCACCTCCACCTCCCAAAGTGCTGGGATTACAGGCTTGAGCGCTGTGCCCAGCAGGAAGTTGTTATTCTTGAGGAATTCAGAAGTGCCCTCTCTCACCACTCCCCCCCACCACAGTTGGGAGTCCTGGCACCTGGGGCACTGCCTCTGAGCCCCACCAGAGTTTAGCTTCTGGCCAGGACAGCCACTCCTCCAGGCCTAGCTCCCAGCAGTTTCTGCAAAACAGAGGGAGCTAGGAGGACGGCAAGGCCCTCAGCTCACCAGATGCCAAAGGAATAATCCGCTGCTTTAAAACTCAACCAGTAAAACAAAACACAAACGTGCCATGAGACTGTATTAACAGAAATCTAATGTTCCTCACCAAGGAGGTGACAGTCCAGCTTGGCTGGGTGCTGGCTGGCCACTTGCTCCCTCTCCCACACCCTCCTGCTGATGAGGAGAGCAGTGCAGGTGGCAGGGGAGGGGGTGGAGGTCCCCACACCCCGCCCTGTACCAAGAGGAGGTGTGAAAGGCTGGAGGCAGTGAAGGCTGGCCATGGGGCATGGGGCGGCCCACGTGGCTGTGGGTCAGGGCAGCGCAGCCCCCTCCACCCCTGTGGCCTCTGCCTCTCTCCTTTCCCCTTCCTCTCTTCTCTTTCTCTCTTGTCCTCCGCCTACACACAGTTTTCTCCCTTCCCTCTCGTTCCCTCTGTTCTTCCCATTCCCTGTCCTTTTCTGTCTTGCTTCTGTCTTTGTCCCTTCCTGTCACTCTCCTCCCCCTCTCCTGGTAGCCTGGACTGTGCGGGGGGGCCCTGGGAGACCGGAAGGTGCCAGGCCGCGGGACTCTGACCGGGATGGTATGGCTAGAAAGAAGGCAGAGGGAGGAGGAGAAGGGGGGCGAGGAGGGGAAGGGGAGGGGGGAAGAAGAGGGGAAAGAGAAAGAAGTGAGGAAGAGGCAGAGGAAGAGAAAGGGGAGGGAGGGACCAATGAGAGGAGGGAGAGAGGGGGAGAGGGAGAGGCCTCCTCCCAGGGCTCTCTCACACTCTCGTGCACGCGCCCCTGACCCTCTGGGCTTGGCTCAGGGCTGTGGGCACGGCCGCGGATGGGCCCCTGCTCCGCGTGCGGCTGCCGCTCTGCTGAGAAGGCACGACTGCTAATCACTGCCCCCGTACCCGCAAGGCTGGCAGCTGTGCCCGGTGGTGGCAGGCGGTGCGGAGCGGCCGGACCTCTGTGGCGCCGAGAGAATGCGCTGATGATTGCATTGGGGGAATGTGCCTGCCAAGCTCCCACTCCCCAGGCCGTGCAGGCGCGAGAGCCAGTGCACGTGCCCCATCTGCAACCTGCGTGTGCATTCATGAACAGGCTGGCAGGTTGCGGGCTGGGGGCCAGGGGCGGGGCCTCAGAGGTGGCCGAACCCGCTCTGACACGCCAGAACGGGGACCGGCACATGAACACAGGTGATGCCCCATGGAGACGGGGACAAAGAGGCCCAGGGTCAGGTCCCTGGGTGGGCAGTGGCGGCCCGGGTGGCACTGTGACAGCTACTCGGTTCCACCTTCCACGGACCACACGTGCTCACACGCACGTGCCCGGTGCCTCAGGGTCCTGCAAGTCCTGAGCAGGCACCACAGAAAGTGTGCCTTCAAAGGGTCCCCACAGGGCCTATCCCACGAAGGACAGCAAGTGTGAGGGGCAAAGGGACAGAATATGTGGAGAGTGGGCTGGGAGAGAACGGTCCTGCCAGGGTCAGATAGAGGGTTACACCGGGCCGCACGCAGAAGGAGGAAAGTTGGGGGTCAGGGAGCAGCCTGTCCCCGTGGCATCCCTCACAGGAGATTTCCTTGCAGGAGACGGGAAGCAGAGAACCCAGGCGGGGGACGCCTGCACGGCCAAGGGTGCACAGCATGACCTGTGGCTGGAGGGCCCCAGGTTCGAGTCCTAGGACTGCTCACAGCAGGTCTTTTCCCCATGGGTCCTCCTTTCCTTCTGAGAAAGATGGGGCCTAGGGCTCTGGTCCTCCGGCCAGGTGTGAAGCCCTCCAGGGCTCCCTAGGCAGGGCCCAGCTCGGACAGGATTCCCCCTGGCTCCGTCCCCTATAGCTGGCAGGTCTGCTGCCATCTGGCCCGGCCAAGGGAGGACCAGGGGACCTCTCCAGGCACCTCTGTGCTCCACTCTCTGCCTCTATGCCCCAATGGTCCAGGGCTGCCTCTGGTCTGCTTCCCCCCTGCCCAACAGGGGCTCGAGTGGTACAAGAACCTGACAGTGCCAGTTCGCAGCCTAGCAGAGTCAAGACCCAGGTTCCCTGGCTGGAGGGAAACCAGGTCACAGGAGGCAGAAGGCGGTCAGGAGCCATGCTGATTGTGGGAAGAGCAGACACCACACAGGAATCCTAAGACTGCCCTCAGGCCAGCTCCCCTGGTGGCTGGCTGAAGAGCGTGGGGCCCCTGGGCTGTCTGCTGGATTGGGTGGGACCCAGAGCTAGGCAGGCTCTGGACTGGGTTTGAGGCCAGTCGGAGACCTAGCCTGAGCCTCTTTCTGGGACAGGGGGTGCAGGCACCAGCACCCTCTCTCTTGGCTTGGGGCCAGGCTGGTCACAGGGAGTAGGCCTTGGCGCCCAGGGGACAGAAGGGCCGTTTATGGTCCAGCACTGTGGCCACAAAGGTCAGGGCCCCAGGGAGAGCCAAAGGCTAGAGCTGGAGGGTGGGCTCAGAGGTCTGACTCCACAGGCCTGAGAGAGGTGTCCTCACAGCCCCTGCAGGCCTGGACCTGCAGAAAAGCCTAGCTCCACGCCGCTCTGGAAAGGCCCAGCCCACACAGCAGGGTCAAGTGTCCAGAAGAGCTGGGATTCTGAATAACGGGCAAACTGTGGATCACACATTCCTGGAATGTGCCAGGCCTGGGACCCCACCCTACCAGGCCACATCCTAGGGCCTCCCTCTGAGCAAGCACAGTCGGCTGGGCACAGTGGCTCACACCTGTAATCCCAGCTCTTTGGAAGGCCAAGGCAGAAGGACTGCTTGAGCCTAGGAGTTTGAGGACGGCATGGGCAATACAGCAAGACCCTCGTCTCTACAAAAAGTTTTTTTTTTTTAATTAACCAGGTGTGATGGCACGTGCCTGTAGTCCTAGCTACCCAGAAGGTTGAGGCAGAAGGTTGGCTTAAGCCCAGGAGTTAGAGGGTGCAGTAAGCTATTATCATGCCACTGCACTCCAGCCTGGGCAATATAGCAAGACCCTGTCTCTAAAGAAAAAAAGTAAGAAAAGAAATGCCAGGGATAGGGGGCGGCGGTCACTGGAATCCAGAGGCTTCTGCTAGTCCTGTCCCTGCTCATCACAGGCAGGGAGCAGGAAAAGGGTAGAGCAGAAGAGGTGATCAGAGGCAAAAAAAAAAAAAAGGCCCAGGGTCGGTGGTTCAGCGTGTAATATCCCAGCACTTTGGGAGGCCGAAGTGAGTGGATTGCCTGAGCCTGTGGGTTTGAGACCAGTCCAGGCAACTTGGCAAGACCTCGTCTCTACAATAAAAATTTTTTAAAGTTAGCCATGGTAGTGCGTGCCTGTAGTTCCAGCTACTTGGAAGGCTAAAGTGGAAGGATCGCCAGAGCCCAGCAGGTGGACAATGGGGTGGCCATGAGTGTGCCACTGCACTCCAGCCTGGGCGACAGAGTGACTCCGACTCAAAAACAACAAAAAGAGCAGGGCCGGTGGAAGGTGCCTAGGACGTGGATGGCCATGGGCACCAAGCAGCCCAGGCCAGCCCCTCGTTCCTGGACTCAGCCGCCCTGCAGTGGAGAGGCAGCTCTTACCCAGTACCCG